GTGAATTGCTCTTTTATTCTTTCCTCTCCTGTGCTGTTCCTCCCACACAGGCAGCTAGAGTCACCAGTGCTGTTGATTCTTGTTCCAAACTCCGGCTCGCACAGCCCCATCCCGTGTCCGCTGTCACGAACCCGTGGCCCCAGTCCTCCCGCGACCGGGCCATCGCGTTGTCGCCTTTCGTCTTCTGCGTGAGACCTCTGGTCTCTCCCCGCCGACTGCACCGTACAAACAGTTACCAGGCTTCCGCAGACTCCTGCAGACTCCTGCATCGACCACCTTGTGTCTGAGCAGTGGTTTTGAAAGTGTCTCTGTGGAGCCCTAGAGACCGAGGGGCCCCTGGATTGGCTGGGTTCAAATCATGTTCGTAACAAAACGTGGCCCCAACCTGGTTCTTTCTTTCTCACTGTGTGGACACCTGGAGTCGAACTGATGCAGAGCAGGGGTCACCGCAGTGGCACCCAGCTGTGCCAGCTCTGGTGCCTTCAGCCTGTTTTACAGAAAAATGTATTTGAGCCCCGGCTGGTGTGGCTCACTGGGTTGGGCGCGGGCCTGCGAACCGAAAGGTAGATTCCCAGTCAGGGCACATGCCTGGGTTGCAGGCCAGGTCCCTAGTTCAGGGCTCGTGAGAGGCAACCACACACTGATGTTTCCCTCCCTCTCTTTCTCCCTCCCTTCCCCTCTCTCTAAACATACATAAATAAAATTTGTTTTTAAAAAAGATTATACTTGAAGACTCATTGAAAATCCTTCATTTTCTTAAATCTCAGCCCTAGAGGTCACATCTCTTTAACATTCTGTGCGGTGACATGGACGGTACTCAGAGCTGCGCACTGAAGTGTGGGCGTGACCACCACGCACGTTCGTGCGAAATGAGAGGATGAGTCGCAAGCCGAGCTTGCCACTTGTTTTTTGTGGACTACCAATTTTACTCAAAAGAACAGCTGATAAACAAACTATAGTTATTCAGTCTTGGTTATTTGGTAGACATTTTCTGGAAAAAGAAAGAGTCTTAAACCTCTCATTTAACGGGGGGGGGGGAGAACAGCAGTATTTATTGGCAATGATAAAATTCAAGACGAAAAATGAAAATCAGTATTTTTGAAAACTTGAATCAGCCACTGCTTCCCGGTACTTAAAGACTTTTCTGATGAGAGCAGTACTTTTCCGAATGTCAGTGAATGTGTTTCTGATATTATGTAATGAATGAAAAGTGTCAACATTTAGAAGTTCTGCAAAACTGAATGAACCAATATTTTCTAAATGATCAATGCATAATGTCACAGACTCATGCATATGGATAAGAGACCCATTCAATGATTTTTAATTTAACAGAGTGAGGAAAGCTCATTGACGTGATGTCACATTCCTCATTTTACTCATTTTTGAGAAGCGCCTGCTTGTCAGGTTGTGGCATAGCATTAAAGAAAGATGATCCACAATGATCTAAAAGTGCTATTAAAATACTCTTCCCTTTTCCAACTGCACGTCTGTGTGAGCCTAGATTTTCTTCATGTCCTTGAACCAAAACAGCACAAAGCAGTAGATTGAATGTTGAAACAGATGAAAGAGCCCAGCCGTCCTCGGTTCAGCCAGACTTACAGAGATTTGCAAAACTTAAAAACGTGTCACTTCTCTGACCTCCTTTTCTTTCTTTTATCATTTTTTTTTGCAGGGGGGAAGTTACATCTCGTTAAAAATGTGTTATTTATATTAACATGCAGTAGGTTTGTTATTATCATTGAGCGAATAAATATTTTTAAAATTTGTTTTAATCTCTGATATGATAAATACTGATAACTACAACCCACATAAACAAACACCCTTTGAAGTCCTCAACAATGTCGAGAGTCTAAAGGGATCCTGAGGCGTTTTTAAAATGGGAATAACTAGTCTGCATGAGAATATCCAGTGTTAGTGCGCTGCTCTCCAAAAGAAAACCCATTCAGTAGACTCTGATTCTGTTTAATGTTTCTGAAATTATTCAATTTTTGTGATAAGGCCGTCATCATCCAGTGTCCTTTAGCATCCTTATAGGAATGAGACAGGGTAAATCTAATTTTTTGCCAGTGTTTTTGTTCAGATTCTCATTTGTAATTCTACGTTAGTTTTTCTTTTCTCTAGTGAATTTTAGACACTAAACATAATTGGAAGTGAAAAATGAGAAGTATGTCACGGGAACGAGATAGAGAGAGGTTACTTGGTAGAATTGGTTTGGTAAAATCGGGCATTAATCCAAGCTTGGCCTGTCAAGGTAATAGTCTCGATATACAGTCTTTACAGATGCACTCGTAAACCTTAATGTAGCCATAGGAGTGAGGACATGCTAGAATGAATACATTGAATCTATAGGTTATTTTAAATCCATTTTTCTTGTTATTTAAATGCCTTTTAAACCTTAATCCAGAAGTGCTAAAAAGAATCCCAAAGAATCACTTCTTCCAACTTCTTTCTTGTTTTCCTTCTTGGTATGTACTTCATACAATTGTTAAAAAGTGGGCACAGGAAAAAAAAGGAAACTATAAAACTTATAGCCTGGGCAATCAATCTCATAATTTAGACAAAAAAGGTACAGAGAAGTATCGCTCCCTCCTTCATTCTGCCTACAGCACTGGGGTCTCAGGGTCCCCAAATGCTTTAGAAGCTATTGTCTTGCTTCACAATCCCACGAAGAAACTAGGAACAGAGGTCAGGTTGGGGCAAGAGAGACCATGGGACAGTCAGCACAACACAGGGGAATTCAGTGCCGATACTGACTTATAGTTCATCAGGAAACGTGAGTTATGCTATATCCTCTATTCTAACTTTAATGTGCAGAGTCGGTCAGTATCTTCTTGCTTAGTGGAGAACATAAGATTACTGTTCAAATTAAGTTGCACAGGGCAGCTTAGCTCACCCCTGACTAACTTACATAAGAAGGTTAGTCATTTGAATGAAAACTTGTCTGGGCCACAAAACCACCACAATTCCACAGAAAGTAGGTGTATCCTCTCTGTTGAGATCGTCTTGGTATTTGTTCTAAAAATAGGCCTACATTGTGGTGAAATCTAACCCAGCTGTCTGTCCAAATCAAGTTAAGAAAATCAACTTTGACATGGCTCTTAAGTACAGGCAAGAGTCTCCTATCACGTCAAAAAGGATCGAGTCAGTTCCCTTGAAGCCTTTTGTGATAGTTTTAGGAAGTTTTGGAGTATGAAGAAAACTTTAAAATACTTTAAGATGCTGCCCTGGCTGCTGTGACTGCATGGGTTGGAGCTTCATCCTGTAACTGAAAGGTTGCAGGTTTGATTCTCAGTCAGGACAGGTGCCCAGGTTGCAGGTTTGATTCCCAGATCCCTGGTCTGGGCATGTAGGGGAAGTGACCGAGGCAACTTGATCGCTTCTCCTCTCTCACATTGACGTTTCCCTCTCTAAAAGCAATGAAAACAGTTGTCCTTGGGTGAGGACAAAAGCAAATTAAAATAAAATTATTTAAGATGCTCAGCGCATGAGGTGAGAGTTGAGGGTGGGGAAGAGCGGGTGTGGAACCGAGAAGCGGTGGATGCGGCGCGTCCTCCCCACTGTTGTGGGGAAGCAGGAAAAAAGGGGAAAACTGTGAACTTCTAAGAATTAGTAACATGTCCAGCCAAGCCCTAGTAATAGTTTTAGTTCTTTGACTTTGAATTATTTTGGAGGGTAGTTGATAAGCTTCCCAAACAACAGAGTAACACACACAGGCAGACTTGTAGAGAGAATAGGAAGTGAAGCAGAAGGAGCGTTGATGATAAGGGGCCACGAGGAGACGGACACACACCTCCCCACCCGGATGACTGACTTGGTTACTTTCTGTAATGCTCCAGCTACATTTGCATCTTTGGGTGTTATGGTATAAAACACCTAGGAAAGCACTTTAATTTCCTTGCAGGCAGTCAGAGTCAGGAATACCTGTCATCCCGTGATAAAAAGACTGAACGTCCGTAGAGAGTAACAGCAGTGCAAACACTCATCTCATAGATAAAATGTGTTTGTTTGTGATCTACAAGTAACTCTCTTGGGCGTTCGTTCCCTCGTTTCTTCAGTCCGACGTGCTCCTCCAGCGCAATTAAACAGTGACAGCTAATGCGTTTTACGTGGTCCCTGCACGTCTGTTTCTGAAAGGAGTTGGTCCTTCATGGCTAAAGAACATTGAGTGTATATGTCGAGCTACCATCAGAGTCTTATTTAACGGATCTAATGTGTATTTGTGATGAAGATACGCTGTTCTGAGGTTGACAACAGCCCAAACGAGTGAACAGTCCACATCAAAAAATGTTAAAGTGACAAAGTAACAGTCACCATTCGGTATTTTATAGGGGAATGAGACATCCAGAAGAGTTGAGACATTTAGCTTTGACCTTGTATCCCTCCAGCTCTAAGAGACATGGTGGTAAAATGTTCAGATCCTCCTTGAGGAAATTGCTTCCTATGAATTTAAGGCATTACTGGCCTCTAGTGGTAATATGCTATAGTTTAAACATTTCTAATTCTTATGAGTGACTAGAAGTAAAGCCATGTAAAATGTTTAGGCTGCCAATAACACCACTGTCAGTTCTGGGTCAACAGTGCTTTCAAAGCGTGCACACGACATCATCTTCCTCCTAAAGACCAGGGGCGGAGGGGGCACTGTCTGTCTTGTGTTCTTGCCGCTGAGTTGCCCTCACCTCTTTGTTCTGGATAATACCGGTTTAGCTGCAAAGAGAGCTCCCATTATTCGGGAGCATGTGCAGGGGGTGTACTGGGCCAGGTCTTTGCCAACAGTTCTTCCAGCAGTGTTCCAGCCATCTTTTCTGCAGACTGGAGACCAGTTTTTACTTCTGTATGTTATAACAGTTTTTATTTTCTTAAGAGACATTTTTTGGTTTCTCATTGAGATTCGTGTTTTGACTCATCTCTATTCAGTTTGAGTTTGAAGATTGTTACACTGGAAATACCAGTTTGCTAATAAGCAGGGTAATGATTCGCCGCTTCTCCTCCTTGTCGCGCAGATGTGAAAGGGCCCCCCACGCACCGTCTGTCGTGCGGCCAGTCGCCCTACACCGAGACAACGACATGGGAGCGGAAGTACTGCATCCTCACGGACAGCCAGCTGGTGCTGCTCAACAGGGAGAAGGAGGTGAGGTGGCCGTCTCGGGGAGGCTGCTTCCCTTTTCCGTGGTCCCGAAGTCTAGTTTTTATCTGCAGTTACGAGCATGGAGGCTTTACGGATGGTAAACCATGAGCAAGTCCAGCGGGGCCTGGTGTCAGAAGGACACATGAGTGCCATGCAGAAGTGGGCTCTGCAACAAGATGGGCAGGGTTTCACTGAGGAACAGTGAAAGGGATGCGAGTGAGTACTTTGGAAAGAGAACGGATTGGATTGTGTAGCCCCGACCCCCAAAATGGCCCAGATGGCCTCTTGGGAAGGACATCCGTCTAGCTCCCAACCAGTGACAAATGGGACAGTCAGTGGGTTAATTGAAAGAGATTTAATGAAAGGACTATTGACAGAGGCGTAGGCCACATAAGGGACCCCTGAAGGGTGGTGAGGCACCCATGAACTAGCAACAGCAGAAGGCCGTTACGTACCGCTCTAGACCTGCGGGGCGGGGAGAGGAAGCAGCATTTCTGGAGCCCCGAGAACTGCAGCTGCACGCGAGGGCCGATGCCAGGCGCTGTGGCTCCACACAAGGACCGTGGCCTTGGCCAGTGCCCACGGCCAGCAGGGGGGACACAGGGAGAGGAACACTCCCACTGTCTCCTCCCGCCTCCCAATTTCTTGCCCATGTGACCCACCTTGAAGCCGGAGGAAGAGGTTGCTCTCACTGTGTTCTGCAGAGGTTTGCTTCCTGCCACACAGAGCAAGGGAGAGTAGGCTGGAGAGGCTGGCGGGATGTAGTTAGTTCTAGTTCTGGTCGCCCTTCTGTCCCTCTAAATTAAAGCAAGCAAGCGAAACCACTTACCATGTACTGTGACTGCTTTATTCCTCACACTGCTCAGGGTGGAAACCCTTCCACATCCAGACAGTTCCTGTGCTTATTGGTGGTTTGGCAGGTAGTTGATGTCATTCTGATTTGGTAGAGCCATTAAACCATCTTATTCCCAACCCCCACAACATAAAAAAAAACCAAAACTGAGTGTCTGTGATCTTCACAAAGAGGAGGGAGAAATGGAAAGGAAGGAACGATCTGATTGGTGAGGGAGAAAGATTAGTTGCCACATGTATAATCTTTGGAATATCAATTTAGTAAATAAAATATTTAATATTGCATTTTATTAAAATAATTTTGAAAACTGCATTCTTTTCTGGAGCAGTCTAGTGCCTGTTGTGTTTACATTGAGTAGATACATAATAAAAACTGGTAAGGTGAATATTAGTGCAGAATATTTGTAGTTATCCGATTTGAATAAACAGCTAATTCAAAATGCACATTTTAACCAATCTTCTTTGTCATCAGTTTTTTGTCAGGACTGATGTGAACTGATCATTTGCCATCGTTGTGCCTTTTCCTACATTTTATTCAATTTAATACTGTAAAGAAATATGACAGCTTAAGGGAGACAGCAGGAGCGTGCCTTATCTACAACAAGATACAATCCATTGATTAGGTATTACTAATCAGTTGAGCAATACAGGCCTGGGTCCCCTTTTGTCTGATAAAATAACTGTCCATAATGAATAATTTTTCAACACAGAATCTTAGGTACATTATCCCTTTTAATGCCACTTCTTGTGAGCAACCCCAGATGCCCGGGGAGCCCTTCATCTTCTCTGTACTCAGGGTTCTGCGCCTGTCCTGTCCTGTCCTGTCCTCGCCTGTCACTCATTCTTTTCCACTCCAAACCCTGTCACTGTGCCCTCCATAGCTTGCGGTCCATCTACAGCTGTGGTCTGTCCGCAGCTGCTGCTTCCGCCTCCCCCTGAAGGAGGCTTTCAACTTCTTGGTCTCATGAGAACCTCTGTCTTCCCTGAGGACACTGTCTTCTCTGAAGTCCTGTCAAGTGCTGGCTCTTTTCCTCCCGTAGCCCTCAGACCATGCTGCCCGTAGTAGGTGCTCCCCTTCCATGGCACTTGCTGTCTCTGCTCTCTCATTTTCCCTGAAGAGCTCAAACTCTGAATCTCCTGTTGTAGTGTCTTCTAACCCCCAGTCATCCATCCATCCATCCATCCATCCATCCATCCACATCTCTATCTCTCTCCCCCTCTTTCTCTGTCTCTCTTTCTCTCTCGCTCTGGTTGTTGATTTTTGCTACTGGCTCATTGTTATTTTCTCCAACACTGCTGCAGCCTTAATTTGTGATTCTCTATCTGGAGATGTGATTCTTTCAACACATGGCTGTCAGCTCCTTGAACTCCTCTCCTTTGGGAGTTTTTTCCTCTACCTTCCTCACTGCTACAACTTCTTCATATGCTCAGGTGCATGCATGTTACTCTATGACCATCACCTCCTATCATTTTATCTCGTCCCCAGTTCCAAAAGTCCTTCAATCCTTTTGGGACCCAGGGTCCACTGATCCTGTCACCTAGTCTGCCCCTCGTACCTCTGATGTCCTTCCTTTCTTCTTCACCCAGCCCAGATTTTATGGTCGGTCATTGTCATCGCTCCCTTGCACGCTGCCTCCTTGCCCTTGTCTTGTGTCGTCACACTCACTTGGCACCAAGGTAGCTCACGGCTCAGCGGTGACAGAGCTGTCTCCTGGGCCAGTTACTGTCCAGCTCTTCGGGTCACGTGTGTGGCGAAGGACAGTTTTTTCTCCCCATCTCATTGTGAACAGTGAAATACAATAACATGAATTAACATGAATTTAAAAAAATAATATTTTAAAAAGATAAAAATACAAACCCAAATTTTTATTAGATTTAACAAAAGTAAAATTATGATTCAGTAAATATACACAGAGTGATCCTCACATAGGAAAAGAAGGAATAAAATCACACAAGTGCACATGTTCATGACAAGTGTGCTGCACAGGGAGCACACCCACCGACCACACCAGGCACACTCCCCCTCAATTTCCGTGCCCTCACATTGTCGTCAGTGCCGAACAGCCTGCAGAGCAGCGCGGGACACTGGGCCGCACTCTGAGCACAGTCCACAGTGATTCCTCGATGGTGTTTTTTGCGTGTCTTCCTCTGTTCTCATCCCAGCTCTGGTAGCCTCACAGCTGACCGACCGCTTTGCTGCTTCTTCAGTGAGATGATTCAGGCCTGGGAAGAGCACTGGGTTGCCGTGCCCACCCGTCCACCGGCACCTCTTTCCTTACACCCTGCCCCCCGCCCCGACTGTGGTCTGGCCGTCCTCGGTCCGACGGCCAGCCCCTGCTTGGACGCCCACACCCAGGACACAGCAGAGCAGTCTCCCCCGCCCCTTCTGCGCCTTCGGTGCTGTGCTCGCCGCTGGCTCGTCCCCGCCTGCACGCTATTATTCCTCCCTCTAAGAGAGAAAACGAGCCTGTGTCAACCCCACTTCTGCCTCCGGTTACCACCCATCCCTCCGCTTCTCTCAACAGCGGAAGTTCTGGGGACCTGTACGCCCACCGTCGCTCCTTCCTCTCGTCTCGTTCTCTCAGACCTGCTCCCCTCCGACTCTGCTCCAGGGGTGTCCGCCCTTTTGCGTGTCTGGGCCACACATTAAATACACAAACACAGACAAAAACTGATGAGCAAAGAGAACGTTTTAAGTAAAATTACTGTTCTGTGTTGGGCCGACGGTTGGACAGCCCTGCTACCCATACCACTCTGTCCAGGTTGCTCTCGGTCAGCTCCCTGGTGACCTCCAGGTTCCTAACCCCACTGGCCAGTTCTCATCTCGCTTCATTTGTCAGCGGCTTTCACGCGTTCGATGGCTCATTCCTGTTCCTAGAGCACTGTCTTCACTGCGCCCCAAGGCCCGGCGCGCTCTTAGTTTTCCACCTGCCACTCTGACAGCCCCTCTCGGTCACCTTTGCAGATTCCTCCTCTTCTGCCCAGATCTCTGCAGGGGGTGCCACGGGGTGCAGCCCTCGGATCTCGCTTCCTCGGGCCGCTCACCCGGTCTCAGGGCTTCACACCCCCTCTGGTGCTGATGGCGCCTACTTTTATGTCTCACGGCCGCACAGTCTGTTCTCCAGACCCATCCATCCCTCTGCTCACTACACACCTCCTCGTGGATGTGCGACGGTCCCCTGCAGCCTGCCCAGCACCGAGCCCTGTCCCCCACCCACCCAGTCTTCCCTCCCACACCCGTCAGAGGCCATCCCTATCTTCATTAAGGACAGCTCCATCTGACCAGGCTCCCAGGGGCTTGCTGTGGCCCGGCCATTCTGGCTTCGGCACAGCTTTTGAGCACATCAGGCAAGTCCCTGCCCTGTGGCCTTGGCCCGGGTTTTTCCCTTAAAATATTTGAATGACTCACTTTCTCATCTGCTTCCACTCCTTGCTATATAATTACCTGGCCACCTCTGTAAAACCATCCAGATCATTTGATCTGATTACGTGGCTCCGTTTTTTTTGGCCCATATATGGTATTTGCCACCTTCTAAAATGCTGTGAGATTTATTTATCATGTTTATTGCCTTTTTCCCAGAACACGGGCGTTAGGACAAGGATTTTATCTGTTCTGTTCAATGCCATAACCCTCAGTGCCGAGAACAGGTCTTGACACATATGTAAATCCTTGATAAACATTTGTTGAATAAATTTTGAAAAAGCCAAGTTATAAACTTTGATTGCTGAAAGTCTGATTTCTTGATATAAATTTGAGAGATGAACCTTTCCATCTGCCTTTTCTTTTTGTGTTATAAATCTTCCCAGAGCATGAGACTTAATCCCATATTTTATTCTAAAACTAGATAAAAGATGATAAAGACAATCCATGAGGTGCTCCACCATTGTTGAACATGTGATTCCATCTTTATTTATTGAGCATCTACTACGTGGGCGGTATTGCGGCTGCAGGTTTGTGGGGGACATGTTATGACAAAAGTTAGAACCACGTGGAGCTCCTCGCAGGTGGTGTTTGTACAACATTGTCAATATACTAAACGCCACCGAGTGAATCTACTCCAAGATGCTGAATTTTATGTTGAGTGGACCTCACCTCAATACACTGTTGTTTTCTTCAGATTGTAATATAACCACAGGGAAAGTCTAACTGA